TACAGCACTTAAAAGATTAGTCTTGGTCACCTTCCTCTCATTACAGGCAAGATTTATGTTGGAATGTATTGAGACACCCAACTGTGAGAACCATTTGCAAAATATCAGAATAAACTAATATATATATATATATATATCAGTTAGACGGTTTTAATTCTAAAGCAATAACAACAGAAGTGTGGGTCTTACAACAAAGCAAAGATTGTAAGAAGGAGAAATATAAAATTCTTTGTGGTACTAATAGTATTATGTACAAATCACACAAGTTTTTCATTCTAAATACTGAATCATATTATTATTATTATTATGAACTAAATATAAAATTATGCTAAATTATTGAGCTTAAAACTACAAATTTAAATTCAAAAGAATATAAAAAATCACAAACTCTTTCAGTTCAAAGTCCTAAGTCTAATTCATGTAAAGACTTTGCACCCGCCACTCGGTAACTTTTAACCCTAACAATCGTGGATCAAATTTTTTCCTAAAAAATATATCTATTTTGAGTTAATTTTTCAATATAATGATTAATATAAACAGATATACCATGCAGCATGACTTAAGCTACCATATAAAAATAATAAAAGTCATGTACATCCCATGCAGTTTTTTCCAGAAGCAACTTTTCTGACGCTTATAGAAAAGCCCTATTGGCCAGTACTAAATACAACCTCTCCATAAAATAGCAGTTACTATGATAAGCACCACCCACATTCATATTGTAAAATCCAGAGAACAACGTTTCATCACGTGCTTTCCTTATCATCCTATGATTTGTCAAATGTGAGATACATTGATTGGAATAACATGGTACTGAAATTGACACCTTCGACTAGGATTGGCTAAAAGTTATACAACTGAGATTTAACATGCCCTGACGCAGTTTTATAAAGAAAACAGACTAGAAAAAGGTTTAGATACCAATCATAGATGGTAGGACCAGTGCTGAAGTGGAAGGAAATACCTTAAAAAATTTGTGAAAAAAGATTTTCTTCTTAGAGGGCGCTTATTTCAGTCTAAAACGTATTTTAGGAATTTTTTCATTAAATTCCTCTTTCAACTTCATTAAGGAATACAATTTTGTACAAATAATTGAATGTTATGCTACTATTTATAAAAATAAAATCAGAAATCCAATAAAAGATAAGTTCTCTATCATTTTTTCAATTCACAAATGTGATTTTGCCCTCACAATAAGACAAAATGGCCACGGCAAGTAACGGGTTAAAGCTTTATCAAACATGAGCTGCAACTAAGGATGAGAACAATGGGTTAGTGGTTGATAACAATGGTACAATTGATCTTTCTGCACTTGTAACTGCTCATAAAAATGACAATCTAGGCTGGTCATGTTTTAACTTGCTTCATAGCAAGGAGCACCTATACTAAATCTGGGTCCTTCAGGTTCTCTTTCTCAGACTCTTAAAATTATAACTGTGACAACCATCCACAAATTGAATTTCCTACTGTATTGCTTATTGTCACTATGCCACAAAGGGTTTTAACTCCCACACAGTGTCCAGCATTTGGACATTCAATAATTGGAGACAATTCATCAATGTGTTTTTGATGTGGGCCTTGCTGATACTGTATGAGTAAATGATACTCCTGCAATACTGTTATCCAATATGCTAGTAACCCCTCTGGACTTTTAAAGTTTATCAATCCTTTCAATAAAAAATGGTTTTCTAGAATAGAGAATTTTCTACTATACAAGTAGTGAAGATGGTGTTTTAGAAAGACCACAATTGCAAGCAGTTCTTTATCTGTCCAACAGTATATGCATTCAGGAGCCATAAGCGTATGATTAGCATACACAACTACACATTCTACTCCTTCCTGCAACTATGATAACACTGCTCTGATTCCACT